CGAACTTCCTGGGTCCACCAAAACACGTTTAATTTTAAAATCTAAAACATTGAGAGAGATTACCAAGGCATTATTGTGTGGTAGCAGTATTCCATTTGCGCCCTCCTCCGTGAAAGTAATGTCGTCCTTAGCGACTTCCCAGAGTCTCTTATTGTGGGTTACTGACACCTTCGTCCTTTTTGCTGCCGAAAATGTCACACCATTAATTTTGTTCCCCCCCTCCCCCCCGAAAATCATGTTGATCTTCAGATGAGGAGGATCTTCTCCTGCTTTCGAGGGTTTCGCGTTATCACCATTGCGACCATAGTTGTGTTTAGCCCGGTCACTTAAGAATTCTCTGATATGGCCATTTTCAGCAATGTCGCCACCTCCTCGCGCAAGTTAGGATCCCCCCGATAAGGATCGGATCTCATTGGCTTCAGGAACCGTGATTCCTTAATGTTCCTCATAGCCGACACTAGTTCCACTACGCTGATGTTAAAGTTGTACTTGGAAAGCCTGGGATATGAGGAGTCTCGGGAACCTGATATCTCCTTATCCTATAATGATTTGTTATTCCGGCCGCAGTTAGCTCTCCTATTAGTAGCGAATCTATCCGTCGATCGAAAACCTCTGTCGCATAATTCGGCCCTTTCATATGGCAAAAACTAACCTCTAGAAGATCGTTGGTCTATGTTGAAACCATCCTTTAATTTCTCCTTATTCTTCTCCATGTCCCGACCCTTGGTTGATGCTGGAAACCGAGCTGATCATCTTTAATTCTTATCTTCGACTCATAATGGTTGTGAATATCCGCCCATATTGTTGCCTGGAACTCGAGCAGACTTTCTTTCAATTTTCGGGAAGCGACAGAACTTCTCGGGTTCAATCCTTTAGTAAATGCTTCAGCTGCTCATTCGTCTGGTACGGTCGGTGGCAACATCATTTCTTTCCGGAATCTGGTCACGAACTCCAGCAGCAATTCGGACTCTCCTTGTGCAATCTTGAATATGTTAGTCTCTCGGGCATGTACCTTCCTCGCCCCGGCATGGGCCTTGATAAAAGAATCCGCGAACATCTCGAAGGAATCTATTGAATACTTGGGTAAAAATGAATACCATGTCAGAGCCCCTTTCGTGAGGGTTTCCCCGAATTTCTTTAGTATGACTGACTCAATCTCGTACAGAGTTAAGTCTTTCCCCTTCACCGCCATTATATAGGTGGTTATGTGCTCCTGAAGATCCGAAACCCCATCATACTTCAGCACGTCTGGCATCTTGAACCGTTTCGGGATCAATTTTGGTGTCGCACTTGGTTTGAACAGCAGCTGGGATATTTCTTTGAGTCCGGTCCTTTCAATACTAGTGGTGCACCCGGAATTTGATCCATTCGGGCGTTTATTTCCCTCATAAAATGCATGAGTTGGTTTTAAAGGGATCATTCACATTATTGTTACCGGATCCGCTACTGTTCCCCCGGGCCATTTTGAAGCCGACTTTGCCCCTCGGGGTGTTGGTGTTGACCCTCTGCGTTATTTGGTTTGCAGGAGCACCGGGAGGAACTGGACCCCGTCCATTCGCATTGTTGGAAGCGCCTGCAAACGCTTGCCTCAACCGTCATGACCTGATCATGTCGTGAGAGGTGGCACATAATAGCCTTTTGTTGCTCCCTCAAGATCCTTACTGTTTCAACGGCGTGTTCGTCTTCAGCATCGTTAGGAGTTGCCTATTGAACATGTCGTGGATATTGCTCGCCATGGACCGACATGGCGTCATCCCCCTCGTTGTGAGTATCACAGATCGAATTTTTGTGCTGAGGCTGATTTCCTTGGATCTCAATGTTGTGTGTGATGTTGACATCGTTATCTGCCATTTTTTTTAATAATTGTTTGCTAAGAACAAAGAACCAAACAGGTTAGTAATAGATGCAAGGACCAACTCAATTACACAACTGTTTACGCCCCACAGTGGGCGCAAACTATTTACCCGTAAAATGATACAGTTGAATTTATATGTAGTTTATAGACAAATGAATCGATTTGATCCCAAAATAATAAATAAATTAAATAAGAATGTAAGACTTAGCATTGAAATCGAGATAAGAAAGCATAAATCTTGGTTCCGGGAACAGAGCTTCCGGAAGCAATAATAACGATCTTAATAAGCAAGAAGATAAAGTATTATTGAGCTATGAACAGTATATAGCATAAGCTTGTCAGAAAATTCGTGTCCTCTCTAATGGTTGTTGAACTCACAATTTATAGTTGCTCCTAGGAACAAGCCCCTCTTAAATGACAATTGTGAGGGTCACTGAAGAATGTTTAACGACAGGATATGAATGCCATATTCTCTGTAATAGGCCTCGTACGTAATGCTACGGAATATTCTCCATTAAATGTTACCGGGTGGCAGGAATTTACTTTGTCTTTATGAGCAACATTCCCTTCGGGAACAAAGGAGATTGCTGCCCTTAGGCCTGATTGCCGTTTGCCTCGCTTTTCATCTGTCTTCGGCTCCACGTGTCGCTTTATTATGCAAGCATTTAATATGAACATATTTTACCCTATATATAGACATGGTTATGAGACAAAAGTTCTGCTAAGAAGAAGTCCCTGAATATATAAGTGCTATTTTGTTCAGATAAATGACAGAAACTGAAGTTTTTCATTTAAATGATCATAAAAGGGCTATATCTACAATCTTGACAATATCTTTGGGCAGTGGGTCATTCACCAATATTGAAAACATGATTCAAAATGGAATTTGTGGTGGTCCTGGACAAGAGATTGAGTTGGTTTGTGCTCACACTGTTATCTTTTCTGATTACAATAACCAGATCTAAACCAAGCATCACAATTGCAGTAGCAATGGATATAAGAATAACCCGCCAAAGCTTTTTAGCTCTTGACTTGCTGGATGGACTAGTATTGCAAACTGAGACATGAAACTTGGGATCGCCAAATAATTCTCTATTGGACAAAAATGATTGACTTGTGAAATTTTTTGAAAAGGAATCTCACCTGTTAAGTCATTGAATGAAGCATTGAAGTACTTGCGATAGAGCTTCAAGTGATTTTGGGATTGGACCAGAGAGATTGTTATAAGAGAGGTCTAAGACAAGCAAACAGATCATGTTGCCCTTTGATGTAGGCATGTCTATAACTGCTTCAAGAATATGCCATTTGTCAAGCATTTGATAAAAGCCTACCCTCTTAAATTGTTCTCATGCAAATCAAATATTTCAAGAAATCTTAAAGTTGCCAAAGGAATTTGGAACTTCACCATTGCAGATTTTGTTTCCAAGGTCTATGAATGTGAGCTTAGAACATACAGAAACATAATACAAGTGAAGCTATTTTATCTGCAAAGAGTGTGAACTATAGGAGCTATCATGCTGTCTTTTGTTAGTGACAGAAAATATTGAAAACTGAATAAGAAACTTTTAATATGTTAAGAGTCAATATTGGAGGAATTATCAACATATGAAACATAAGCCAAATGATGTAGAATTTTTTTTTTTTTTTTTTTTTTTTTTTTTTTTTTTTGCTAAATTCTTATGATGTAGAAACAAAGCTGTATTTGTGCTTTCAAGTTTTTTACCATGTCACATGGTCCATGTGCAATAGATTCGCCTCCTCCTAATAACTTTCCGAGGCCCAAATGATATGCTAACCAACCTTTCTTCTAACAAGATATTGCTTCAAGTAATAATGTCTATGCAACAACTGTTGTGTAACCATTCCAAAGCAGATGCAACATTGAATGTTATGTTTAATTTTTTTGATTGTCAACAAGATGTAGCTATTTTTCCAGGCTTCCAATGGACATGCACTCTTGTAGTAATGCTTTAATCTCCATGTTAGAACAACGGCTGATAACCATGGTGAGATTTCTACGGCGAAGATCGCGTAAATCTTCACATTCACGATCAAAACTCTTATTGAGGTCCAGATATAGCGAAGCAGACAAAGCCAGTTAAGCTCTACAACTCCAACAGAACTTTGTTATATACTGTCCTTTAAACTTGTTTATAGGCTTACCTTCTGCTTTAATTAGGAGTTGTTCTGTATTGACATGCGCCTACTTGTCTTTTCTCTTTTTCTTCTTCTTCATCATTTAAACAAGCAGATGGTATGAACTATGATGTAACTACAACAACAACAACAACAACAACAACAACAACGACCCAGTATAATCCCACAAGTGGGGTCTGGGGAGGGTAATATGTACGCAGACCTTACCCCTACCCCGAAGGGTAGAGAGACTGTTTCCAGGAGACCCTCAGCTCAAAAAGGTAATAGGAGCCGATATATTAGTACCATAAAAATGCATAATAAAATAACAGCAATATAAGAGATATGAAATACAAAATACGAAATACGAAATAGATGGCTGGTATGATGTAACGAAATACGAAATACGAACTATGATGTAACTAATGAAGTTGTTTCTCTTCAAAAAAAAAAAAAAGAATCTTTTTTCCTGTTTTTGTTACTATTCGAAATTTTGAAATGGATCTGCACTGGGAATGGTCATGATAGGGGTATTTATAGTTCCTCTTGGGACAATCCAATCCAATTGTTGCATCCTAATACTGTTAAAGAATGGACTCTTATAGTTATGTATACATCTTGTTAATCTACTCATTATTTGGACCTTTTTGTATCTATAGAATGACTCGCTTCTCACGTACGACTACACTGTAAATTCTGCTGAAAGTATTTAGAAATAGTGTTAATATGGAATTTCACAGCATCTAGAAAACTCAAATAAAAATACCCATAAATATAAACTACAAAGAAACAAATATCCCCAGTACTTGTAGTTATTTCCATCTCATTTTGAGGCTATTATGTAACAAAATTCATGAATGATAAATTCAAAGTAGAAGCCACCTCGTTATATATCATGATAGGTAGAAATGTATTACAAATAATTCAAGCATGCTTGTTCTTCCTCTATATATTACCTCCATTTGAGACGCTTTATGTTTTAAAAAAAAGCTCAAATAACACGATCAGAAAAGTACTCGAGACAAAGGAATCTTAGTAGCTCATATGTCCCATATTTCAACTTAACATGGAAAAGTTCACACGCCCCTGAGATGATGCCAAAAACAAACTGAATATAGGACTCTATCCTAATACACAACAGGACCTAAACATTAACACTAAGCAGACAATACATGGAAAACAACCTTAAAAGGAACTAGCTATCATCCAAGTAGACGCCCGTTAACTCTTCGGAGAGGCTTTTGGAACTCCCCCAGCACTAGGCTGAACAGACTGGGATGTTGCATTTGCATCATAGGTTCCCCGTGCACCGCCACTACCACTGCCATCAGAGGAGTACCCCGCCGGAGTCTGCGCATAACCACCAGCATAGGCACTACCGTAAGGTGGCGGCGGCTGCCCATAGCTAGGCTGGGCGATAGGTGGAGCCCCATAGGCTGGTGCACCATACCCAGGTTGAGCTGTTGGAGTGCCATAAGACGATGGAGCTCGCTGAGCCCCAGAATCACCCTGACCATAACCCAATTGAGCAGTTTGTGGCTGTGGAAACCCGGGCTGCACTGGTGGAGGCTGGGCATAGCCTCCTTGTGCACTAGGAGACTGCAGTGGCTGACCATAAGCTGGCTGAGTAGTTGGAGGCTTTTGAGCTTGCGGGGGGCCATAACCAGCAGCTGGCAGGGTACCATACCCAACTTGGGAAGTAGGTGGCCCGCCATACCCAGCCTGAGTAAACCCTTGAGATGGGTAATTAGGATTAGGGCTGGGCTGCTGGCCAGACTGATATCCTTGTTGACCCGTAGCTGATGACTGAACTGGTGCAGGTGCTTGACTGCCATCACTTTGCGCACCATATGAAGTGTTGTGGCCATCAGAAGCTGGGTTTGGTACATTCCCGTAACCGGGAGTAGAGCTATAACCTTGTTGCTGATCATAACCAGGACCCTGATAACCAGATTGAGGACCAGGTGCATGATATCCACCATACCCATCTTGGGAATAACTTTGTCCCTGGCTGTAACCTGTGGCTGATGGCTGATTGTAACCATAGGCGGTAGTATCAGTTGAAGCAGCTGAGCCTCCAGGTGTTTGCTGTTGTTGTGGGGGTGCCTGCTGACTGTAGTAATCATAACCACCTGCCCCACCTGCCTGGGATGTTTGTTGATTTGGTGCAGTTGCCTGGTCCCAACCAGAGGAGGCTGGTTGTGGTGGGTAACCAGGGTAGGGTGGTTGAGACATGTTATACTGGGGGGATGGACCTGGGTATGCTCCAGGTTGAAGGTAACCATAACCAGGTTGTTGCATCTGCGCACCAGGAGGAGCCCAGCTTGCAGGAGGTCGAGCTTGATAACCTTGTTGAGGATATCCTCCAGACATTCCTGAATTTCTAACACGATTCTGCAGAAGAATTGTTGTCTAAAATGAACCAAGAACAATCTATCCAGTTGCATATTTTAAGACATTTTCAAAGGGCAAAACAAGCACATAGAGATAACATAAACACAGCAGATAAAGCAGCAACATTACCACAATATAAACCCAGTATAACTGAAAAGTTACCAAACTATAGAAAATATGCATCAAGACAAGTGTAGCCGCCTACATACCGTACTGATTGGGTGGTACAAACTCCTGCAGAAGCCCATCTTCATCCAATTTGAAGCGACGGGTACCATAGCAAGTAGGAAAAACAATACAAATTCTACATAGAGGCAAAATATTTCTAACACAAAAACACTAGCAATGACCCTACGAAGAAATATAGGCCTTAATGAACCACCTTCATAAAAAGATGACCCAATGGTTTATGCTTTAAGTAGTCAGCAAAGCAATTATATACGTTGAAAGCATTTCATTCCTATATCCTGAACCAAAATTAGATATTTCAGGCTCATTGTCATCCACAATAAACATCATTGAAGATATTAATTTATCCAGAATAAAGACAACAGCACCCCATCATAAGGCTCCAAAGATGAACTCTTAGTCGTTGTGCTGTATTCATGAATAATGAGTTAATGACAAGGAGAAATGAGCAACAAGGAAAAATGTGTTATGAAAATGGAGGACATTAGTGAACACCAACAGGGAACAATATTGGATACATACAGTTTTAGAAGGCAACATATCACTTACATTGGATAAAAGGTAACTAGATAAATCACAGTCATAAAGACACAACAAAGCAGAACCTTAACTACCGAAGCTACAATCTGGACTTGCAAGAGAAAGAGCTTAATCTTCAGGGTTATCACTCAAAGGTTTATGAAAGAAAAAATTAATCTCCAGGGCTATCAACTCAAAGGTCTATGAAAGATTCTCAGATATAAGGGGACAATCATTTACAGCAGCAAAATGAAAAGGCGGGGATAATCAACTACTATGGGCTATGGCGCAATAAATCTAACTCTGAAATAAACGAACAACTGTCAAATAAAAGAACACCAATAGAACTAGGAACTCACAGCAGCATAAATTATAGCTAACCAGATCCTAGAAATAATTCCAGTTAAATTGACCAGTGAAGAAATATTAATATCTCGATTTTGACTCCAACGAGAGAAAAACAATCTCATAAGAACTTAGTCTATTCCCCTGCATATTCAGAAAAGAAGGGTCTCTTTGTTGTCAGTAGTTAGGTTGGAAACCATACCAGAACACTGCTGAGGGAACAACAACACTAAATGGTTACATGTTGGTGTCACCAATTGTCCAATACACACTAGCCTACAATATTTCCCAATAACAATATTAGAGACCAGATACAAAACTAACCGATACAGTTTATGCCTTATCCTGATTATAACAAGAAAATTCAAACCAAGTATGATCACAAATCTTATGAATAAAGAATACATCTCAATATTAGAGAAAAAATTTGGATTGGTTTTAGCTACCTTCTTGGAAAGGTTTGTCCCCACCTGCCTCACAGAAAATCACCAGAAGTCCAGTAAAACTATTAGACAGATCAATACATAAAATAAGGTTATGTCTAGAACTTACTATGATCATCATCGATATAATAACTTAAACTACCGTGGACTTCAGACAAGAACCCAACAACCCTGCAACAAGTACCCGCCTCAATGAACTTATGAAGAAACTAATCAGAAAGCTGACAGGCATAAGAAGATGCCATGTCATACAACAGATATGTCCTATGGATGAAACGATCACGGAAAATCAATGTGGTGTTGTACTGTAGAGTGGTATACCGCACTCTCCGTTACCTATTTGCAAATAGGAAAGAAGCCTATGACTGAAAGGAATAAGAGAGGACCTAATTGCAATTAGAAAAAAAGTATGACCGAAGGAATAAGAATTCTCCCTTCAAAAGTAAAGCAGAGCAGGGGCCCATCTCCTTCACACGGGAAATTGAAATGAACTAGAAAGTCCCATGGACTGAGCTGTGAATCAAAAAGAAGGCTGCAAAACGATACCTGCAAACTATTGAATTCCAGGGACACAAATAGGACCAAAGACAGCAGTACACATTTATCACAATTATAGATGCAAGTGATGACCACCCAGTAGAAGTTAGATTTAGAAACACTCAGCTTGTCATTCATGATGCTTTAGCAACAGAACAAATTTTAAAACACTGTGGTTAGAACAATCCTAATTAAGAATTCAACTAAGCACTCACCACTGCAAAAAAGTTAAACATATTACCTCATAAATATGCCAAGAGAAGGAAAGCTAGAACATCCAGGTAAGTTGCAAATTTTCCACAACATCGAATCGAAGTGCACAGTGAGAAACAGCAAATCCATATCACAGAATAAGACATAATCATACACACGTTAACAGAGTGGAAAGCAATAGATTCAACAGAGTATGCTTCCTCGCAAGAGAATAAGCACCAAAAATATCAACTGTCAGATTGACAGATTATGTAACTACAAGTACCTCACTAGTAACCTCATACACCAGCTGTTTAGCAGCCTCAATCTGTTCACTTGACCCATCAATTTGTACTGTCCTCTCTCTTGATGTATCACCTGGAGGCAAATGTAAAGGAATCACCTGTGACAATTTGGGAAAAGGTAAGAGAGCTGACTTCAAATCTCATCTAAACTGATCTGTGTTCCAGACAATGCAAATCACTACAATCCTTGACAAAACGGCATCACTACTGTTGCGAACGTTGCACTATTATCTGTGAAATGCTTTAGTATTACCTGAATACGAGCTCCAGTAGTTGCTTGCATATTTTTTATGGTTTCACCTCCTTTGCCAATAACAAGACCAACCTTAAAGCATACCAATAGGTCTGAGAGACTAGATAAACTGGAAACAGATTATTGCAGATTAACCAACTACAGCAGTAAAAGTCACCTTGTTGTTGGGGACTTTCATTACAAATTGTTCTGCTCCAGACACCTGTCCAGTTATCCTCCGGGAAACTATGCCAGAACCCCCTGCATCAGCCTATTTGATATGCATTGTGCATAGGTAACACATTCAAAATGGCCCATTCAGTTTGGTTTGATTCAAGACATAAGAGCATTTTAAGGTACAGTATTGTTCAGGTATTAACAGATAAAGATTAGTACCTCAGCAAGAACATCACTAATTAATTGTTCAGCCTTAGCAATTTGCTCTGGTGTACCCACGAGTTCTACCCCTCTAGTTGGAGAATTTGGATCAGCATCCATGTCTCTAGTAACCTGAATCTTGGCTCCAGACTGTAGTTGAAGATACTTGATGGTTTCCCCACCTCTGCCTATGATCACTCCAACTCTCGCATTTGGTACCTCAATCTTCTTGCTTCCCCCCGGATAACCATATGAACTTGTAACTGCTGGATTAACAATGGGTTTGTCTGTGGTTCAATAAAAACAAAACATTTAAACAGTAAGTGGACCCAAGTCCATATCGATAATAAGAAGAGCATAAGATCATCAAGAGATACAAAGCACACGAATGGTGACCACATTAAAAGATGAAAAGAAGCAGCAACCCACCTCTGTCACTGCCACTAAAACTTTATAACAGAACCTATTAACCTGTAATCATTCACATACACCTCAAAATATTTTCACGATAAAAAATCAACACTTGCAGCAGCTATTCATTTACAATACTATGTAATTATCAACATAGAATAGGAGACAGCGATATGGAGTAAGACTTGGGAGATTCTAAAAAGAAAAAACTTCTCACTTCAGCGCCCACAAGTGAGGCAAGTTGTAGCCCCCCACACCCCACCCTTTCCCCTTGGAAAACAATGTCCTGCAATTCATGGTGGCCAATTTTGGAGAAAACATTTAAATCACACCAAACTCACCCTTAAGACACACGCCCGTCCCCTAATTCTTGACAATAGAAAAAACCTACTATTTTATAACTAGACCCCTTGTTAATTATAAAGAATCTACAAAAGAAAATACACTCTGATGCAACAAATAGCTCAAAAGATCTGGCTCCAGATAAATACACAAAAACTACACGAGCCCATTTTCAAGAAAATGATTAAAAAATTAAAACCAGAAAGAAAGAAAAAATAGAAGATGATTGTCACCATTTACTCCAACAACTAGGCGTGATAAATTGTCAAACATGCACATCACTAATTCCTGAGAATAAATCTTTACTACTTTTTTCAACTGTTCCCTCAATCTACAAAAATAACACGCATAGATGCAACAAATAACTCAAAAAACTTTCCCCAAAAGTTTAGCAAAATTAAGCATATCCATCCTTGAGAAAATTAATAAAAATGTCAAAATCAGTAAAAAGAAGTAGTAGACATTAAAAGGACCAAAAAATGCAACAAATAAATCTAAAAAATCATCTCTAATTAAAGGCACAAAAAATAAGCAATCATTTACAGAGAAAATAAAAACAAACAATTGTCTTATGAAAAAATAACAGCTCAAAACCCTTACGTTCAAAGGAATCAAATGGAGAAGCAACAGGAGCGCCGTTATCAACACGAGCTTTTTTCGGCTCGGCAGCACTGTTCAAGAGCCGAGCCGCGATTTCCTGAGCCTTCTGCTTAGCCAGCTGGAAATCATCCATAGGTGGAGGAACGCTGTTGTAAGAGGCCACGGCAGGAGCCGCGCCGGAGCCATCAGAAATCGATGCAGAGAATCCTGTGGGTTTACGAGGAATAGGAGAAGGCGTCGTTTGGTCTTCGTACTTCCTCTTGTTTGTTCCTCCAACTTCTGATGCGTATTGAACATCCTCTTCCGCCATAGTTGTGTTTGTTGTATGGGATTTCTCGTAAGAAGTAGAATTGGGAAACCCTACAATGAGAGATTGAGAGAGGGATTGGAGAGAACAGGGGCAAATTTGGGGGTCGAAAGAGCATTTTATAGCTGACCTCTTGCGTTATTTTTTTAGATATTTCTTTTGCCAACCTATTGAATTCTTATCATATTTTATAGTACTACTATCTATATAATGGCACACGATGGTTTATATATTTATTTATATGGAGGAATAATAAAATTTAATTTATGAGAGAAATTTTATATATAATAATACAATAATTATTTAAATACCGAAAAATATTATTATATTAGCATAATACGTGAATTCAAAATGAAAGGACATCATCAGAACTTATACAAATGATCAATTCTAGTCATGTTAAATAGATAATTATGTATTGTAGTTTAAAAGTATCTAATGTGATGGTATCTTACTAAAAACTTCTTTACAGACGATATTTTTTTGTCCTTCTAATGCTTTGGTTGCTCTATCNTACTTTATTTATTATAACTACAAAATATAAACATACTGAAAATTATTTTCACACAAATTTAAAATGATATTCTTTAGTTTCCGAAGGCGAAAGTTGAATTCGGGGATAAACACATACTTCGAAGCACATTGATCAGTATCATAAGTTCTGCATGCATGACGTTATTGTCAAAATTTCTATATACAATATGTGTACTATTACATAAGCTATTCGGTGGATCTAAGTTTTCAGTAGCATGACGTGCATATTTTTTTTTAAATCAACCTATATACAATGAAAAATCAATTTTAACTTGACAACATAAGTAATATACATATATGGTGTAACTAACATAAGTAAGAAATAGTGAACTTGACAACAAACATGTACAATAAAAGACCATTTGGTATTAAAGTATTTTGAGTATTCTTCTTGATAGTAATTGTTGGTATCATCTTCCGCTGAGTCAAAATTGAGAAATATTTTGTTTTTACCATAAAACTTAGCAATCAACATTTTATTTAGTTGATCAACATATTCATTCCTGCTAGCTAAGTTAGCTCTTTAATTTTCTATCATGTAATTTGTACAAATTGCGTTTTAATCAAACGATGAAAATATTTTCTTTATTAAATGCATTACTATTACCATTGGGGTTGATAATCAAGTGTTCTAGAACAAACTAAATCATCTTTTATTGGATGTTCTTCTTCGTTTCCGACACAAAGCAAGAAGTCACTGAATGTTGGATTTGTTCTTACTTTTATATTTCTTGTCATTTGAATATTTTTTATTTGAGACCATAAGTATAATTTTGGCAAGCTAGCTTTCATAGTTTCTGTTTTCGTCAATTTTGGAACTACTTGTAGTACTTGACAGAAATCACCTCCCAAACTACTATCGTTTTTGCTTTCCTTATAAATTTAGCATTATTGCTATGCTTTGATATATTTGAGATGGTTATTTTAGTTATTTGAAGAGGTATATCAAATCTAAAATGAGTTGTACGACCTCATAAAAAATCATTGATGGTACACCATTTGTTCTTATTGCTAACAATATCATGCCTCTTAATATGACATTTGCAAGTAATGCATGACATACGAATATTATTTCGATTCCGCCGGAGGCATCTACAAAGGTTAATCCCGTTATATCTGAGTCGACTTTTTATAATATAGTCTTAAAAGCTTATTCTTGTTCAGGATTATAATTTTATTATGCTACCTCAAACACTTGTATGACATTCTTAATATTATATTAATCTTTTTTACTTTGTGATATAATTCTTTTAATCTCTAACACTCTTTTTATGGAATAAATTTATGTACCCTAAGATAATTTATCTTAACTTGAAAAATAATTTTACTCATATGATGAATTTAAAAAATAATTTAATTGGATTCTCTTGCTAAATAATTAATTGAAAGATTTGATTATTTAGTTTTAATATAAAGAATTAATTTATTTTTTGGTGATTCAGATTCTTAATATTAGTTCATCTCATGTTTGAATATTTAACCGTAATTATAATTTTGTCCACCATAAATTTTATTTTCAAAGAGTAGAAAGATCGATATGATTCCATTTTTAGATCTTTATGTTTGTAAAATTATTAGTGGTATTGACTCTTGCCAACCCTTTTTTCTCTTTCTCACATATTTTTATTCTTAATTTTTTTTGTTGTTCTTTAATAAATGGGTATATTTTTCAATATCATACGAACAATTAATAATAAAAAAATATTATTTGAGTAGGAACGCAGTTCAAATATAATATAATAATATATTATCGTGGGAATTTTTCTCAATTTCAATGCTTTATGCAGTCCGTTTAACATTACTTTTATTTTTTCTTGATATTGGATATTATAGAGTGGTAATGTATTACCAATATGGATAATTCTTATGAAATTGATTTCAATTAAACCTTCCTATATATTTTAATATGAATTTAATTGACAAGATTATATTAATTTAAAATCTTAAATATTAAAAAAATTAATATAGAAGTTATTGTAGTCCAAAAAATAAGTTATTACAGTTATATCATTTCCCTATGAGTTCTTCTATTTAATATTTTAAGGCTATTTTGATTTATCAGTATTGTATTTGTACTTTTATAATAATATAAGCTCTCTTGTTTTTAAATGAATTTGGATAATATAATACGTTTTCAAATTAAATTAGTAATATGAATTTTTTTAAAAGTATGTCCTAAAAGTAATAGGACTGCACGGCTAAAAATATGTCCATATGCTTTATATTTCTCTTTGACTTATTTTTTCTCTATAAAAATATTTTGGGTCCATCGCGACATTTATGGCCAGTGGATCAATTTAGTTGTTGAACATGTCTTTGGATATATTGGCAAATTAATATTTTATGAGTATTTTATATTTGTTATTTTACAGATATCCATCCTTGCTACTTCTTGCTCATGCCATCTTGAATAAGATTTTGTTTTTCATGCGAACTTATTTGGTACTTTACGAAACTTTTATTTTTTTAATATGCCAACATGTAATATTATATATTTATGTCCAAAATAATCATACTAATAGAATTCCTAAAGGTGATCATGTAGGATTTATGACGTGTAATATTATGCCCTAAAACTAATAGGAAGAATTCTGATTATGTCCTTTTATTGTGAGTTATTATGCTTAATATTAAAAGGTTATTTTTGTAAACCAACTTTTTATTCATGCTTTTATAATAATATAGATATATTCACAAACTCTAATAGAGTTAATAATATAATTAAAAAAATTCTTGAGGGTGCTAAAAAAATCACATTAATAGCTGAAATAAAAAGAAAGATATAATTAGAGTTGTCAAAACAGGCTAGCCCAGCCCAACCTAGCCCAAGCCTCGTGGGCTTTTAAATTTGGTGGGCTATGGCGGGCCGGCCCTCCATCTATATGGGCCTTAAAATGGTCAGCCCAGCCCAATCCTAAGAGGGTCGCGGGCTAGGGCGGGTCGGCCCTTTAATTTTTTTAGAAAAAAATATTTCTCCAAATCTTTAGATATTTTTTCGTGATATAATCTCTTGATCATATGAACGACTTCTGTTTATTTAGAGTGTACAAGAATCTTGATATTTGACAAGGAATCTCGTAATTGAAATGTAAATTCTCTATATCTCTAGCTCTTCTTTTTTTAACATTACATGAATATTTTTTAGTACTTTTCTTTCACTTTCCTTAGGTTAAGAATTGCTTCAATAAATTTATATGTTAAGATTTTTAATTTAGGTTTAATATTATTTGTCAATTTTGTCATTATAGTCCATAAAAAATTTAAAATTCATGAAATTTGCTAGTATTGTCAATTTTTTTTTGGGTATTAAAACTTGACCTTTTTCTATACTGAAGAGCAAATTAATAACTAATAATATATTAAAGTAACCAAACTAATCATTGGCCACTTAAAATAATATTTTCTTTTGAATTGGCCACTTAAAACTTTCCTAGTTCGTTGTTAATTAAGCAAAAGAAAAACTAATCTTGTCATACTACATGCATATCAAAAAAATATAAATCCTAGTTGATATGGAAGGGTAGATGAGCAATCTAAGGTTGGAAAATGGGGATTATAGTTAATTTTTTTTTTTACTTTTTTAAATATTTAAATTTGAATATAATTGATTTTTAGCCCACGGGCCGGCCCAGGCCCAGCCTCGATCAAGCCTCAAGGGCTAGCGGGCTGATTTGGGCCGGGCTTGTAAGCCTCAGTTTTAAATGGGCTAAAAAAATTCCAACCCAGCCCTACTTAAGTAGCGGGCTGGGTTGAACTGGCCTCACGGGTCAAGCCCATTTTGACGGCTCTAGCTATAATAATATGTAAGAGTATTATGCTGGCTTGTAGTAAAACAGACCAATCACATACCAGCTTGTATCAAAGCTTATGGTTAAGCTGGATGAATAATATATCAAATAACCAGTTCGTTTAGAAAGTTTTCCAGGTTTGTAAGGATCAAAACTAAATCTGGTTTAGCGAATGCAGATGTAGGGGATAAGGTCGAGATCGAAACCGAGTATGGTTCAGTGGCGAGGAGTCGCCCAAAAGGAGAGACCGACGTCGAGGTCGAGTAGAGAGCAAACAAATGCAGCAGTTATAATGTTCCTAGGGTTGCGAGTGAGATATTCCCCCATTTTGTATTTTTGTAGGATTTTATAAGAATATCACTGACAAATAGGAAGAGAAAGGAAACAAAATGGGGATTGGAAAACTTCTGTAAAAGAACATCTTGTAAAATAGTTGACTATCAAGAATATACAAAAAGCTTGTCTTGTCTCTTTTATTTGATTCCATCACATAACATTCTTCTTTAGTTCACAAGATCCGAGGACACATTGTTCATTGATATTGCATGCTGTCACACGTTGCCTCTGAAGAAGGAATCATCCACCTCATCCAACATTTGGGTGACTTATTGCTTCTTATTACATTAAATGTCATTTATCACATTTATTGCATGCATTCACTCTCATATTTACATCTAATCATTGAGCATTAACTCGGAATTTGTTGATTAGAACACGATTCACACCATGTAAGTTGTCAGATTTCAAATCTAGGATTTATTATTTTTTAACTTGGATTCACCCTTTATTCATTCATTAAATTGGTTTAA